CTCTACCCAGCAAGGATCTCACTCATATTTGATGGAGAAATCAACAGCTTTACAAACAAGCAAAAGCTAAGAGAATTCACCACCACCAAACCAGCTCTACAACAAATGCTAAAGGGACTTCTCTAAGTGGGAAACTCAAAAGAAGAAAACGATCTACAAAAACAACCCCCCCCCCAAAAAAAAACCCAAAACAATTAAGAAAATGGTAATAGGAACATACATGTCAATAATTACCTTAAATGTGAATGGATTAAACACTCCAACGAAAAGACACAAACTGGCTGAATGTATACAAAAACAAGACCCATATATATGCTGTCTACAAGCGACCCACTTCAGACCTAGGGACACATACAGATTGAAAGTGAAGGGATGGAAAAAGATATTCCATGCAAATTGAAATCAAAAGAAAGCTGGAGTAGTGATACTCATATCAGATAAAATAGACTTTAAATTAAAGAATGTTGCAAGAGACAAGGAAGGACACTACATAATGATCAAGGGATCAATCCAAGAAGAAGATATAACAGTTGTAAATATATATTCACCCAGCATAGGAGCACCTCAATACATAAGGCAAATGCTAACAGCTATAAAAGAGGAAACTGACAGTAATACAGTAATAGTGAGGGACTTTCACACCTCACTTTCACCAATGGACGGATCATCCAGACAGAAAATTAATAAAGAAACACAAGCTTTAAATGACACAATAGACCAGATAGATTTAATTGATCTTTATAGGACATTCCATCTGAAAACAGCAGATTGTACTTTCTTCTCAAGCACTCACGGAACATTCTCCAGGATAGATCACATCTTGGGTCACAAATCAAGCCTTGGTAAATTTAAGAAACTTGAAATCATATCAAGCATCTTTTCTGACCACAATGCTATGAGATTAGAAGTCAATTACAGGGAAAAAAATGTAAAAAACACAAACATATGGAGGCTAAACAATGCACTACTAAACAACCAAGAGATCACTGAAGAAATCAAAAAGGAAATCAAAAAATACCTAGAGACAAATGACAATGAAAACACGACAATCCAAAAATTATGGGACACAGCAAAAGCCGTTCTAAGAGGGAAGTTTATAGCAATACAATCCTACCTCAAGAAACAAGAAAAATCTCAAGTCAACAATCTAACCTTACACCTAAAGGAAGTAGAGAAAGAAGAACAAACAAAACCCAAAGTTAGTAGAAGGAAAGAAATCATAAAGGTCAGAGCAGAAATAAATGAAATACAAACAAAGAAAACAATAGCAAAGATAAAACTAAATAAAAATAAAACTAAAAGCTGGTGCTTTGAGAAGATAAACAAGATTGATAAACCTTTAGCCAGACGCATCAAGAAAAAGAGGGAGAGGACTCAAATCAATAAAATTAGAAATGAAAAAGGAGACGTTTCAATGGACACCACAGAAATACAAAGCATCATAAGAGACTACTATAAGCAACTGTATGCCAATAAAATGGACAACCTGGAAGAAATGGACCAATTCTTAGAAAGGTATAACCTTCCAAGACTGAACCAGGAAGAAATAGAAATTATGAACAGACCAATCACAAGTAATGAAATTGAAACTGTGATTAAAAACCTTCCAACAAACAAAAGTCCAGAACCAGATGGCTTCACAGATGAATTCTATCAAACATTTAGAGAAGAGCTAACACTCATCCTTCTCAAACTCTTCAAAAAATTGCAGAGGAAGGAACACTCCCAAACTGTTTCTACGAGGCCACCATCGCCCTGATACCAAAACCAGAAAAAGATACTACATAAAAAAAAGAAAATTAGAGACCAATATCACTGATGAATATAGATTCAAAAATCCTCAACAAAATACTAGAAAACAGAGCCCAACAACACATTAAAAGGATCATACACCATGATGAAGTGTGATTTATCCCAGGGATGCAAGGATTCTTCAATATATGAAAATCAATCAGTGTGATACACCATATTAACAAATTGAAGAATGAAAACCATATGATCATCTCAATAGATGCAGAAAAAGCTTTTGACAAAATTCAATACCCATTTATGATAAAAACTCTCCAGAAAGTGGGCATAGAGGGAACCTACCTCAACATAATAAAGGCCTTATATGACAAACCCACAGCAAATATCATTCTCAATGGTGAAAAACTGAAACCATTTCCTCTAAGATCAGGAAGAGACAAGGATGTCCACTCTCACCACTATTATTCAACATAGTTTTGGAAGTCCTAGCCACAGCAATCAGAGAAGAAAAAGAAATAAAAGGAATACCAATTGGAAAGAAGAAGTACAACTGTCACTGTTTGCAGATGACATGATACTATACATAGAAAATCCTAAAGATGCCACCAGAAAACTACTAGAGCTAATCAATGAGTTTGGTAAAGTTGCAGGATACAAAATTTATGCACAGAAATCTCTTGCATTCCTATACACTAACAACGAAAGATCAGAAAAAGAAATTAAGGAAACAATCCCATTCACCATTGCAACAAAAAGAATAAAATACCTAGGAATAAACCTACCTAAGGAGGTAAAAGACCTGTACTCAGAAAACTATAATACACTGATGAAAGAAATCAAAGATGACACAAACAGATAAAGAGATATACCATGTTCTTGGATTGGAAAAATCAATATTGTGAAAATGACTATACTACCCAAAGCAATCTACAGATTCAATGCAATCCCTATCAAGCTACCAGTGGCATTTTTTACAGAACTAGAAAAAACCTTAAAATTTGTATGGAGACACAAAAGACCCCAAATAGCCAAAGCAATCTTGAGAAAAAAAAAAAGCTGGAGCTGGAGGAATCAGACTCCCTGACTTCAGACTATACTACAAAGCTACAGTAATCAAGACAATATGGTATTGGCACAAAAACAGAAATATAGATCAATGGAACAGGATAGAAAGCCCAGAGATAACCCCACGCATGTATGGTCAACTAATCTATGACAAGCATATACAATGGAGAAAAGACAGTCTCTTCAATAAGCAGTGCTGGGAAAACTGGACAGCTACTTGTAAAAGAATGAAATTAGAACACTGCCTAACACCATACACAAAAATAAACTCAAGATGAATTAGAGACCTAAATGTAAGACCGGACGCTATAAAACTCTTACAGGAAAACATAGGAAGAACACTCTTTGACATAAATCACAGCAAGATCTTTTTTGACCCACCTCCTAGAGTAATGGAAATAAAAACAAAAATAAACAAATGGGACCTAATGAAACTTAAAAGCTTTTGCACAGCAAAGGAAACTATAAACAAGACAAAAAGACAACCCTCAGAATGAGGGAAAATATTTGCAAACAAATCAATGTACAAAGGATTAATATCCAAAATACATAAACAGCTCATGCAGCTCAATATCAAAAAAACAAACAATCCAATCCAGAAATGTGCAGAAGACCTAAATAGACATTTCTCCAAAGAAGATATACAGATTGCCAACAAACACATGAAAGGATGCTCAACATCACTAATCATTAGAGAAATGCAAATCAAAACCACAATGAGGTATCACCTCACAGCAGTTAGAATGGGCATCATTGGAAAATCTACAAACAACAAATGCTGGAGAGGGTGTGGAGAAAAGGGAACCCTCTTGCACTGTTGGTGGGAATGTAAATTGATACAGCCACTATGGAGAACAGTATGGAGGTTCCTTAAAAAACAAAAAATAGAATTACCATATGACCCAGCAATCCCACCACTGGGCATATACCCAGAGAAAACCATAATTCAAAAAGACACATGGGGCTTTCCTGGTGCCGATGCAGGGGACACAGGTTTGTGCCCCGGTCCGGGAGGATCCCACATGCCATGGAGTGGCTGGGCCTGTGAGCCATGGCTGCTGAGCCTGAGTGTCCAGAGCCTGTGCTCCACAATCGGAGAGGCCACAACAGTGAGAGGCCTGCGTACCGCAAAAAAAAAAAAAAGACACATGTACCACAATGTTCATTGCAGATCTATTTACAACAGCCAGGTCATGGAAGCAACCTAAATGTCCACAGACAGACGAATGGATCAAGAAGATGTGGTACATATATACAATGGAATATTACTCAGCCATATAAAGGAATGAAATTGGGTCATTTGTAGAGACATGGATGGACCTAGAGATTTTGTCATACAGAGTGAAGTAAGTCAGAAAGAGAAATACAAATATCGCATATTAATGCATATGTGTGGAATCTAGAAAAATGGTACAGACGAACCAGTTTGCAAGGCAGAAATAGAGACACAGATGTAGAGAACAAACGTGTGGACTCCAAGGGGCAAAAGCAGGGGTGGGGAGTGGAATGAATTGGGAGATTGGGATTGACATATATACAGTAACATGTATAAAATAGATAACAAATAAGAACTTGCTGTACAGCACAGGTAACTCCACTTTGCTGTACAGTAGAAACTAACACAACATTGTAAAACAACTGTACCCCAATGAAATAATTAATTAATTAAATTAAATTTTAAAATTAATCAATTAATTAAATATGTTGGGAAAGGAAGTCTCCTGCTTATAGTCTTTCCATCCCCCACTCAGCCGCGTAAGAATGGGCCTTGGGCCTGGACAACTCCTCATCAAGAGATAAAGGGCCCACGCAGCCCTGCTGGACTTGCCGGACTCAGTGTGCGCTCCTCTGCTCTGCTTAGCTACACGCATCGCACAGCACCTGGCCAACCCCTCTGCTGTATCTGTCCCCTGCAAGGGGGGGGGCAGTGTTCTTCCGATGCAGCGCAAGAGGGCTGCGTGCAACCAATGGCCCTGCAGCAGCTGCCGGGAGGAGCCCACTGGCGTGGAGACCAATGCCCACTCTTGAAGCAGAACCGGCTAAGTCTCTTCTCTGAGTCAGGAGAGACTTGTTCCATGCAGTGCTTGTTTGTGTTGTTTCCCTTGGTACCTCTGATACTAACATGCACTGGGCAGGAGTGCAAATTGCTTGACACAATTTTTTTTAAACTTCGTTTAAGCACTCACCTATTGAAGTCGGCATCTGGGCTGATTCCTGGTTTAGGCTGTTACGAATAAAGCTGCTACCAACATTCATGTACAGGGTTTCGTGTGAACATAAGATGTTGCTCTGCAAAAGATCCTGGGAAGAAGATGAAAAGACAAGTCACAGACCAGGAGAAAATATTTGTAAATTGAAAATCTGACAAAGGATTAGTATCTAGAACATATAAAGAATTCTCAAAACTCAACAGTAAAAACACAAAAAATCTAATAAGAAGGTAAGTTAAAGACATGAAGAAACATTTCATTAAAGAGTGTCTACAGATGGCAAATCATCACATGAAAAAGATGTAAAACGCCATTGTCATTAGAGAAATGCAAATTAAAACCAATGAAATACCATAACTTCCTATCAAAATGGCTAAAATGAAAAATAGTAACGCATCAACTCCTGGTGTGGATGTGGGGAAACCGAATCCCTCACACATAGCCAGGGATGGGAAGGTAACGTGGTGCAGCCGTTTGGGAAGACAGCTCGGTGGTTTCTTTAGAAACTGAACACGCAACCACTATACAAGCTAGCAACTGCACCCTGGGCCTTATCCCAGGGAAAGGGAAACTGACGTTCGCACAGAAACCTGAACACTAATGTTGGTAGCAGCTCTGTTCATAACAGCCAAAACCGGGGAACAGCCCAGATGACCTTCAACGGGTGGATGCTTAAAGCAGCTGCGGCCGTGCACACCATACAAAGCTACCCAGCCATGGAAAGGAGAGAAGAACCCAAAGTTCACACACCGTACGATTCCATGTATATGGCATTCTTGATGTGACAAAGTTATAGAATGAGGTGACATGTCAGTGGTTTCCAGGGGTAAGGAGGGGCGGGGGCAGGACAGAAGTGTGGCTCCTTGGGCTGGTGGGAACGCACTGTGCCCGGCCTCTATCGCCACGGGTTTCCTGGCAGTGATGCTCACCACAGTTGTGTAAGACGTCGTCATGAGGAGAGACCAGGTAGAGCGGACACAGGGTCTCTCTGCACTATTCTTTACAACTGCATGTGAACCTACACTGATCTCAACACAGAAAACCAAGTTAAAAGTCATAAGGATCAGTAATGTTTTCTGGGCACGTGCTGTGTGCCTTCCGGTCCCCATAGGAGCCCTGCAGGGTGGACGTCCTTGTTGTCCCATTTTAGATGAGGACACTAGGCTGAACAAGGACAGACCGCTCCCCCAGGGTCACCAGCCAGTGGTGTGGAAGCTGGGATTCTGGCACAGGGAGCTGGCCCAGCTCTTAGGACCCGCCCCCCTCCACCGCCTCTGCAGGCCCTTCAGTCTGGGCCCCATGAGGGATGTGCCCTCCCTCCCTCCCTGGCCGGGCTCCCGGGCCCTCTTTGTCTGAAAGGGCAGTGTCCACTGCACCCAGTGCTCCATGCCCTCCTCCCACCCGGGCAGAGCCGTTCCTGCCCACGCACATCACTCAGCACTGCTGGGCTAGCTCCCCTGGATGATCCTGGCCACAGGCACCACCTGGCCTGCACGTGGGACAGACCAGAGGACCAAGTCCCAGGAGGCAGCTTCGGCCAGTGGCAGTCTTCAGGGAGACACCCGCTTCCTGTGCAGGTGTGAGCTCTCAGGCCCGGTGGTCACTACACACTCAGGCCTCCTGTGCTGACGCCCTGCTGTTCCCGCCTGGCTTCCCCACTCCCCTATGCTGTATCCCAGGTAAACCCCTGTCCCCATCCATTCTCGGGAGACGCACCCGGAGATGTGCTCCCAGGAGATTCTGTGCCTCATCCACGTCCAGCAGCCCCTAGTCTGGAAGGCTCCCGCGTGAGTGTCCTGGGGCGGCTGCCACACATCACCACAAACTGGGTGGCTTAAAACAACAGGAATTTGTTCCCTTACAGTTTGGGAGGCCAGAAGTAGGAAATCAGTACCACCGGGCTGAAGTCAGGCGTCAGCAGGGCCGAGCTCCCTCTGGAATCACGAGGGGAAAATCCATTATCCGTTCCTCGCTTCTCCCAGCTCCTGGAGGCTGCCGGCTTCGCTGGCTCGTGGCCGCGTCCCTCTAAATCTCTGCAGGTGTGGTCAGATGGCTTCTCCTGTTCTGTCTGCAAAATATCTCCTTCCACCTCCTTCCTGTATGGAGATGTGATTGCATTTAGGGCTCACCTGGACAATCCAGGCTAAGCTCCCCATTTCCAGATCTTTAATTTAAACCTGTGCAAACACACTTCTTCCTTATAAGATACAATTACAGGATCCAGGGGTTGGGACCTGACATCTCTGGAGCAGCCTTTAGTCAGCCTGACACACTCCCAGTCCATAGCTCTGGCCAGACTCCCTCATCCCCTTTGGACATTTGTCCTGTCTTAATCTGAACTCATCTGTCCCATCCTAAACCGGAACCGCCATAGACATTTTAACCATGGCTGAACCACTGGTTCTGTTCTCCAGGCTAGGAATCGGGCACCATCCTCACCCCACCTCTCCCTCCTCCATCTTCACCCTGACCTAGCCCCCAGGCCCATCCATCCTAGTCCAGAGACCCTGGTGCACTTGCGGGACGTGAGGTCAGTTGAGATCATGCTTCCCATCTGTTCACTGACCAAAAATTGCCCAGTGCCGCTGTGGGTCACGTGTCCCCTCGGCCTCACTCCCGGGCTCCTTGGCTGCAAGTCCCTTCTCCCCCCAGAAATGCCAGCGGCCCCCATGCCTCCGTCCTTCAATCTCGCCTCACCCGCTTCTGTCCAGACAACTCCAATCATAGCCACCTCAAGGCACTCTCCTGTCCCCCGAGACTAGAACCCTGGCCCGTCGACCCCAGGGCCAAATTCTGAATGGACCAGAGGCCTTCCCCCCTGGATGTCCCTTGTCACCTGGGACAAGGTGTTAGGTGTCACCTGCACCTAATACCAAGTCTAACACCTCCATCCTCATCTCAGGCCTGCTTCTCCTTCTATGATTTTAAAGCACCGAAAAACAGCCTCTTGCAGATGACAACCTGCCAGGCTGTTACAGCTCAGGCCTTTCTCTCCATTTAGAGTTCGCCTATCTTCTCCACTGGACCATGTCCCACACCCGGCTGGCGGTGACTCTGTGTCTTGGCCACCATGGTTGTCCCCAGTCTAATACGTTGCATGGCATGTAGTAGGCACTCAATAATATCCATGACTGGCTTTTCCATTTTTTTGTGGGCATTTTGGTAATTAACATATCAATATTTTGATGTTGATCCAATGCTGTGCTCCATGGCCTTGCCCTGACCCGTATCAATGGATGCACAGACTCTGTGCTTATCTGCACCACACACAAAGCTCCAGGAGCTCTTTGTGTATGAGTCGCTGACTGCATCTCTGCTGGTTTCCATGAGCTAGGTTTCTAGGAATGCAGTTACTGGCCTGAAGCGCTTTTGGTTCAAATCAGGAGCAGCTTCTTCACTAGCTCAGCCCAGGGTGGGAAGGGCTGGCCACCTGGTTTAAGCCTCTGACCCATCCACCCTAGGCCTGTCCTTCCTTCCGACCGAGGTGCAGGTCTGTCCCAGCAGGAGGGATGAGGCTCCCAGGGTCCGCACCCTGCTCGGCCTGGGCAGTGCCCTGCAGTGCGCCCTCTTGGGGCATGTGTCCAGGGACCCTGCAGCTGCCCCCTGGGCCCTCACAAGGAGCTCAGGCCACTGCTTTGGTGGTGAGCTTAGCCTTCCAGGTGGCCTGCAGGCCTGGACACTGGCTGCCCCCAAGGCTGCAGCACCCAGGTGTGCTGGCCACCTTGGCCCTCTCTGCAGACCACTGCCCCTCCTTCACCCTCACACCCCAGTGTCCAGCAACCCTGAGGCCAGGTCCCTGTGGCCCTGAGACCTGTCCCCAAGCCCACAGCTAGACTATTGGGCTTCTTTATAAATTGAGATAAAACCCACGTAACATAAAATTAACCATTTTAGCCATTTAAAGCACCCGGTTCAGTAGCATTTAGTGCATGTTAGTACATTCAGAGTTGCGCTCTATCCAGTTCTACAGAATTTTCAAGCCCCCAGAGGAAACCCTGCACCCATTAAGCATTGCTTCCCAGTCCCCTGTGATAGTAATTAAACAAGGAGGTCGTCAGACAGTGGCTCTGATGCCAGGTAGCCACAAAAGCCAGCCGACGCCTAAGCCGAGTCATGCACTCGAATCTGGGAAGATGAGACCTGAAAACTCCAAACACAAACAGCTGTGGGGTCTTTCCCAAATACGACAGCTGCTTAAGCTGTGGCCAAATTTTCCTGCTCTCCAAGTCTTCTCTATAAAAACCCCTCCCCACTCCTGTCGGGTGGGCCTGGGGGGGCTCCAATCACCTCCAGTTTCACATTGATGTTTGTTCACATAGACCCTTGAAAACATGTACCGTGCCTCAGTTTACCCAGCTCCCGCCAGGCCCTAGTCCTCGCCAATCTGCTTTCTGCGTCTGTGGATCTGCCTGCTCTGGACACTTCATACAAATGAGACCACACGAGACGTGGCCGATGGTGTCTGGCTCCTTTCCCTTTGCATCACGCTTTCGAGGTTCCTCCAGGCTGTGGCAGGATAGGTGTCCCCTCCCTTTGATGGCTGAGGGCTATTCCAGGGCGTGGACTGCAACCCTGACCCATGAGGGCCGTGCCCCGTCCCCCCTCCTGACCGCCCTCAGCTCAGGAGACTCAGCCCAGGCCCCGCGGCCCCCAGGCGGGCGCTGGCCCCAGTGCAGCTCACAGAGGTCTTGGGAGGATACCGGGGAAGCTCATTCCATTCAGACCAAACAGCTGCCCAAGACACCCACGAACATGCACCCACGCAGCACACTGCCCCCAGCCTGTGGAGAAGTGGCGGTTACGGCCGTTGTCCCAGAAACCATGAGCCTGGGTGTTTGTCCCCAAGGTGGGTCTGGGTCCCCCCCTTGCCAGGGGCCCAGCCTCTCCCTGTGACCCTGAGCAGAGAGGCCGCCTTCACCTAGGCACAGTGGGGGAAAGGACCAGCTTTCTTCAAGAAGTGGGGGCAACAGATCTGGGCCGAGACCCCCCGGCTGCCAGGTGGCATGTCTGTCCTCGGTGGAGAAGACGCTGGTGCGGGAGTGGAGGCCAGCTGCCCAGGTCGTCCTGCCGGGCGTGCCAGGCTCTGCCAGCAGTGGGCTGGGGCTCTCTTCCCCAGGCTGGGTTCCGAGGCCAGGGCTGGCCTCCAGACACCTGCGGCAGGCACTCCCGAGCCAGTGGGTACAGCTGCCCGCAAAGACAGGGCCTGGCCGTCCACCAAGTGTGCGGGAACTTCCTCTGTCTGCCCTTCAGCCAGGCTGGGCTTCCACGGTGAGGCAAGGTGTGAGCCTGCACCCAGGTCCCAGAGGGCAACCCAGACGGAGGGAGTGACACCGGGAGACGGGGGAGAGCAAAAACGGCATCCAGGTTTTAGTGGCCGGGGTGCCAGGGTCAGTGGAAGGCCCCTCTGAGCTGTTCCGGAGAGAGAGCTGTGCTGGTAGCCGATGCCCAGCAGCCCACCGCAGACTGGGAACTCCATGCCCACAGGAGAGGGTGTGCAGAAAAGGGAACCCTCCTACACTGTTGGTGGGAATGTAAATTGGTGCAGCCACTACGGAGAACAGTATGGAGGTTCCTTTAAAAACTAAAAGTGGAGCTACCATTGATCCAGCAATCCCACTCCTGGGCATATATCTGGAGAAAACCATAATTCGAAAAAATACATGCACCCCAATTTCATTGCAGCACTGTTTACAATAGCCAAGACATGGAGGCAACCTAAATGTCCATCAACATTTAGGATGGTGGTACATATATACAATGGAATATTACTCAGACATAAAAAAGGAATGAAATAATGCCATTTGCAGCAACATGGATGGACCTGGAGATTATCATACTAAGTGAAGTAAGTCAGACAGAGAAAGACAGATATCATATGATATCGCTTATATATGGAATCTAAAAAAAAAACAAATGAAATTATTTGTAAAACAGAAACAGACATGCAGACTTAGAGAACAAATTTATGGTTTCCAGGGGGGAAGGGTGGAGGGGAGGGATAGACTGGGAGGTTGGGATTGACATATACACACTACTATATTTGAAATAGGTAACTGAAAAGGATATATATGTATAGCACAGGGAACTCTGCTCAATATTCTGTAATAACCTAAATGGGAAAAGAACTTTAAAAAGAATAGATACATGTATACGTATAACTGAATCACTTTGCTATACACCTGAAACTAACACATTGTTAATCAACTGTATTTCAATGTAAAATAAAAATTTTTTAAATAATAAATAAATGAAAAATAAATACCTCCTCCTCACCCCTCCTGGGAGCAGCTGACCTGTTAGCCACTCACACCTTAGTACGACTTTGTTCCCACTGCACAGACCCTCTCACAGTGCGGTAGCCACAGCAGCTGTACTCATGTTTCAGGGGCACCCAACTCCTGTGAGATTCTGATTCCTCTACCCAAAAGGAGACTTAGACTCCGTACCAGCCTTGAGGAATTTCAGGATATCAAGGATTAAGGACAGATCTCTGGAGTATTTAGAGAGGGAAAGGAGAGGTTAACCACAGAGGAATAAGGATCCAATCAGCAACAGGCTTCTCATCAGTCCCAGTGGGTCCCAGAAAACAATGAAGTCAACCTTTAAAGTCAGGAGGTGGGTATTTTGAACTCAGAATCTATCCTCAGCCGAACCATCAATTACATTTGAATTTCCAGATATGCAAATTTGGGGGAAGTAATCTGTTAATTCTCCTTTTGTGCCCTTTCTGAGAAAATTTTCTTGAGGATGTACTCCAACAACGCCAACAACGACAAAAGGAATTCAAGAAAAAGAAAGAAATGGAATCCAAGAAAACAGTTGCATTAACCCAAGAGTGAAACATGAAAGTAAATTCTAGTCTGAGAGCCTAGGTAACAGCCAGTACAAAAACTAGCGCTCCAGAAGGGAAGCTGGCTGGCCTTCCTGATGTGGAAGCATGCTTGTTCCATCAATATGGAAAAAGAAAGGCCGTTAGCAATGCCAGGATAAAGAGTTACAGATGAGTGTCATGGGCCCAGATGAGGCATCCTGATGCGATTTGGAGCAATTGATAGAATGTAAAAATTATACATCCATTTCAACATGAGTCCTGGAC